GGATACAGGAAGGGTTAAGTGAGATAATGCGTAGCAATTTTCAAACTTTAAAGTTCATGTAAATGTCAATTATCTCCCCTATTTTACAGATGAGGAAACCGAAGCTCCAAAGGGTTAAATTCCAGGGTCACCAAGCAGCTATCAGATCAAGGACAAAAATCTAGGTTCTCATCTGCTTTGTGGTGACCTCACCCATGCCACCTCTGCCAACAGGTGCCATAGACTCCCCAATGTCAACAATATGCTTCTTTTCTTTCTCTCTTCTTTCCTTCCTTTTTCCTCTTTCTTTGTTTCTTCTTCTTCTTCCTCCTCCTCCCTCTCCTCCCTCTCCTCCTCCTCCTCCTCCTCCTTCATCTTCTTTGCAGATTTACACATGTTTAATTACCTGATTATGTTTCCAGGATGAGCAGTACTTGGGTCTGTTTCCGTTTTTCCCCCTTTCCATCTCTATCTTTAATAGTATTTTATTTTTCTAATTATATGTAAAGACAAATTTTAACATTCATTTAAAATTTTTGAGTTCCAAATTTCCTTCCCCCTCCCCCCTCACTAGGAGAGTAAGCAATTTGATATTGGTTATATATGTCATGCTTCTTTTCTTAATAGCTGAGTGATCTTGGGTAAATCACATAAGTTTTCTATGTCTCACTTCTTCATCCAGAAAATGGGATGATAATATTTGCCCTCCCTACCACTATACTGATGGATCACTTGGTTTAGAGGAAGGAGACCAGTCTAGGAGCATAGAGCAGAGACAGGAGGGAACTTAGAGACCTCATTTTGCAGATTGAAGAAACCAAGGCACAGAGAGTTCACGTGACTTCCCCAGGGTCACACAGCTAGTAAGTATCTGAGGCTGAATTTGAATTCAGGCCTCCAAGCCTCATCCACTATGACACACTGAGTCTCACCTCCTAGTTCCAATACTTATTGTGTGACCCTGGGCAAGTCACATAGCCTTCTCTGTGCCTCTGTTTCCTCATCTGTAGATAGATCCATAGAGAAAGCAATTATTAAACACTTACTGTATACCAGGCACTGTGCTAAGTACTGAGAGTTCAAATATTAGCAAACAAGACTGTCTCTACCCTCAAGGAGCTTATATTCTAATGAGGAAAGACAACCCATTTAGGTTAGTTGGAAACTGGAGAGAGAATCAACATAACACAGCTGGTGGAGGAACCAGGAAAGCAATGAAGGGTTAGGGTTCGATGACCTCCAAGGTCCCTTCCAGCCTACATCCTGATCCCATGATCCTTTGAGTCATCTGGGAGGGATGTCTTGGGAAAAGGAAGTCGATTTGTTCTGGGTGACCCCACAAGGCAGAGTTAAGGCAGATTCCAGCTTTTTATCAGGGAGAATTCTCAGACAATTAGGCAGAAGGCTCATAGAAAGAATCCTGTTGGTGGAGTCAGAAGACTTGACTTCTGACCCTGGCTCTAATAACTGTGTGACCCTGGGCAAGTCACTAACTTCTCCTGGCCTTGATTTCTTCATATGTAAAATAGAGAAAATAATGTTTGCTTTACTCATCACAGAGTTCTTGTAAGCATCCTGTGAAATAGTATATGTGAAAATATTTTTAACCTGTAAAAATTCAAGACAAGCCATGCGTGGCAGCTTGCATATGTGGGTAGAATGTTGGTCTCTGGTCCTTTCTTAAGTCTTAAAGCATCCGTTCCCTCCCCATCCTCCCACCCCTGCTTTTAAAAATGAGGGCTTCAATAAATTCAGTTTAGTTCAACAAGTATTTACTAAGCATCTCCTTTACACAGAGTACTGGGCGAGGAGTTGGGAACATTCCTTAGTAAACTGTTCTAATTAAGTATCATAACAATAGTAATAATAATTTGTTGTTGTTGTCGTTGAGTTGTTTTTCAGTTGTGTCTGACTCTGTGACGCCATTTGGGGTTTTCTTAGAAAAGATACTGGAGTGGTTTGCCACTTCCTCCTCTAGCTCATTTTACAGATGAGGAAACTGAGGCAAACAGGGTGAAGTGACTTGCCCAGGGTAACACAGATAGTAAATATCTGAGGGCAGATTTGAACTCAGCAAGAAGAGTCTTCCTGACTCCAGGCCTAGATGTTATCCATTGCTCCACCTAACTGCCCTATGTAATAACAATAGTTAACAATTATATAGCTTATATGTTATATATAAACTATGTATGTATGTAGTTTACATAATTCTATATTATACAGTACTTGCTACGTGCCAGGCACAGTGCCAAGCACTTTACAATTCTTATCTCATCTGATCTTCACAACAACCCTGGGGGGAAGGTGCTATCATTATGCCCATTATACAGATGAGGAAACTGAGGCAAACAGAGGTCAAGTGACTTGCCCAGGGTCACACAGTTAGAAGTGTCTGAGGTTTTGTGTCATGGATTTGAACCTAGGTCTTCCTTATTAATATTAATATGAATTTAAATAGCATTGTCCAGCAATGAGATGGCTTCCCTGTAACGTGGTGTCTCTAGAAGTATTCAAGTAGGGTTGCTTTGGAAGGGATTTCCCAGCCAGGCGGGAGCTTCTGCATTAACTGGGTGATTTTACATCAACTCATCCTTGCTCGCTCAATGGTGGCTTATTCTGCCCCCTGGTGGCGTATGTGTTCCTAGAGCTGTGTCTGCTCTGAGCAGAAAGCTAGCTTAGGAATGAGAGGTAGGAAAGGAGACAGAGACAGAGAGACAGAAGACAAAAATGGAAAGAAAGAGAGAGAGAGAGAGAGAAGAAAGAGGAGAGAGAGAGGGAGAGAAAGAGAGAGAGAGAAAGAGAGAGCTATGAGAAAAGTGAGCTGGCTTCCGTGGTCCCTTCCAGCTCTAAATCTGAGACTCTGTTATCCCACGGCAGCGACTTCACAGGGTTGCTGTGAAGATCAGATGAGATAATATTTACAAAAGGCTCAGCACATTACCTTGGTAAAGTGATGGGTACATTTATATAGCACATAGTAGATGCTATTTGAATGTTAGCTATTATTACTACTATGACTACCATTACCCTCAGGCAGCCAGCTGCACTTCTGAACAGCTCCCATCGTCAGACAGGTTTTCCTCTTTTCCTATTAGGTCTAAGTTTGTCTCTTTGCCACTACTATCTACTGAGAAAGAAATATGATCAACAGAGCATTTTTTAAGCACCTACTATGTGTTGGCATTATGTTGGGTTCTGGGGATACAAAGACAAAGATAAAAAGTCTCTGCTCTCAAGGACCTTATGCTCTACCAAGGAAGATACTACACACACACACACACACACACACACACACACACACACACACACACACATATACATATTCACACATATACATATACATAATATACAAAATAAATTTGAAGAATTGGGGGGAGGGCTGACATCTGGAGGGAGGAGATCAGAAAAGGCCTCATGAGGCTGCAAAATGCTATAGAAATGTGGGTTATTATTATTCCTGCCTTAGACTGCTTCTCATACTAGGATCCCTGCCTGATATGCCTTTCTTGGTGTGCATCTTTCCATTTGTTCCTTCAAAGCCCACCTCCTGCAGGAAGCCTTCTCCAGCTATCCCAGCTCTCAGTGATACAAACAGCCCTTGGATTCATAGGATCAGGTGCTGGAAAGAACCTTAGAAAGGGTCTTATCTAGCTCCCCCGCCCCTTATTTGGAATCAGGTGTGGGCCAATTTGCATTATTATTTTTGTGTGTGTGTGTCTGCGACATCCCTCCCCAGCTAGATTGTAAGCTCCATGGAACTCCGGCAGAGACAGCAAGGCTGATGACTTTGCACAGCTCTGCCTCACTCAGCTCCGACTCACAAGCAATGTCATGCTCATGATGTCATTGGTCTTCCAGAAAGAAGGACAAACAACAAAGCCAGGAGATTCTGCGCAAGGTCTCCACAGAGAGGGATTTCCAGAGCAGGTGATGTGTGTTAAGTCTTGTCACACATTTCTTATACGTGTGCCTCACTACGATTATGGTCTAAATTGAAGCCTGCTCCTCCCATGGGGGCCGTGTGCACGTGTAGGAAAGAGTGAACCAGGTTCTTACGAGAAAGGTTTTATGTTAATTGTGTCTGCCATGTTATCTGAGAGTAGTAGGAAGTGCCCTTTGGAGACCCAACTGGCCAATTGAACAGAAACATTGCCATTAAGTTGAAAGGAAAATTCTTCATTTGGGCTTTCCCCCGATTAACAAGGCAAAACTCAGGACAAAGAGAATCAAAAGGATTTTATTATAAGTACGTCAAGGTAGCCACGCACTGGTGATCACTGAAGATCAACTATGGCTTCAAGCTGTGGCCAGCTTTTTCAGGTAAGTCTAAGACAATCTAGGCAGAAGAGGCATCCCATTCCTTCCTCCCCTTCCTCCCCAGGTAGCAAGAACGTGACAACTTGCAGGTAGGGGTGGGGCACAAAGAGCAGGTGATACAGAAAGCTGCCAACTTGGTGACTCCTTCCCCACCAGAGCCTCCCCCAACACTGGTTGATAAGCAGGGCTCAACAACTCCCCCGTGTGGTGCTAACCATATAGACGGAAGGGACTGAACAGCAAAACCAAACATGTGTGGTTCAGCACCGCGTTCAATCTACCTTTATCCTCAACTTCATCATCCTAATCTCTGCTGCTGATTGGGCCGAACTAGCAGCTATGAACGAGGGGACTCACAATAGGAAACAGGTGCCACAAACCATAATCCCACGTTTCCATCAATGTCATAAAATTGGATAAACTTGGATAGTCACAATCTCATGTATCCCCCAAAGAGACAAGCCTTGGTAAATAGGCTCTATGCGTAAACTAAGGCATATTACAGCTCCGGCCACTTAGAGGGCACACCATGTGACGATTTTAGAGGGGAGATGTATGTATCAGCAAAGTCACCAAGAAAATGCAGTAAACATAAACACCGTGAAACAAAAGACAAAAGCAACACAATAATGATCATCCAGTAACAACAGTCCCCTGGTAACCTGTGAGCCACTCCCAATGTTCAGTGAATGAGCACATCTCACCTTGAGTCCCAGACAGCCCAGCAGTTGTCTGGTCCCTGGAAACATCTTCCCCTGGACATCCCAGAACAGGGCTCCTCCTCAGGCAGCTCCGGAGAGGTCCCTTTCCAGGTTTGCTTCTCTGCCTCCAAGTCACCTGCAAAGTCCTCGGTGATTCTATGAAAATCTTTTGTAAAACAGATCTCAGCATGTTTAGTGCACTCTCCTAAATTTGCTTTTCCCAATAACGAGGTTATGTGGCGAACACCAGCTCAAGCCTCATACTTCTGGTCACATTGACAATAGAGCCATATGGACATCAAATTTAGGAACCTGTAATTCACTTGAAACTCAAGAAGACTTCAGTTATGACACACCATCTGCTAGTTCTGTCTTCTTTATAATATCAATGCAACTTTATAGTAAAATACTAAACCCAGCCGATGACTGGAGGAGAGAGCAAGCTGAATGACTTTGTGCCCCTCTCAAACCCAATTCACAGGAAGTCAAGACGCCATGATCCTGCTGTCATTGGTGCTCTGGGTGAACCAGAGCAAGCTCCCTGAGGCTAGGGGTCACGTCCTTTCCGCCCCTGGTGCTGAGCATAACCACACAAACACTTCTGAGAAATGTTTGCTGTTGTAGATGATTGCATGTGTGGCTGTTCGCGTTGTAGGAATGAAACAAGCCAGAATGGGATGGACCTCAGTTTCCCCATTTGTAAAATGAGAAGATTGAATCAGATGACCTCTGAAGTCCCTTCATCGATGATCTGATAGTTTCATCATCTGTAAAATGATGGGGCTGAACAGGAACTGTGGGGACCCAGAACAGCCGTGACAGATGCATCACCACCTGAGGGCAGCCTTGCCCAAGAGGAAGCCAGTGAAGAAAGCCGACTTCTGGAGGAGGGGAGGAGCCGGAAGAGGAGACATCAACGGTCCAGGCGTGATGTGGAGGAGAGCCTTCAACCTGGGACCCGGAGTCACTGTGGTGCCCAGAACAAACACTGGTTCTGGAGCCTAGGGAGCTGGGTTCCAATCTCATTTGACTTTGTTTGCACCCCTCTCTCACGTGCCAATCTTGGGTGATTTGTATTCTCATCTGCCCAAATGCCAAGTCCTCTTTCAGACTAATCTACTTGATGGAAGGACCCAGAATTGCCCCCAACAGAAGCCCAGGGCTCCCCCCCCCATTCAAAGGCCTGAAGAAATGGGGGCGTGTTTTCTTCCCAGCTGAGGCCTAAGCTCCCTGAGGGCAGCCACCGTGGCTTCTCTTTCCTCTGTCCCCCCAACAGAGTCTTGTAGGCCCAGACAGGGCACACAGCAAGAGCCGATATTTTCTTTAAGGTGACAAGACCAGGAGTGGAGACCTAGCTCTGATCTTGCCTGGGGCACGAAGAGGATTTTCTCCCTCCCCAAATTATTCTTTGTCTGGGTCTTTCCCTTTTGCCCTTATTATGCCCTTACAATTCACTGAATCCACAATCCCAAAGGTGGGGGCAGTCTCTCCACAGGGGCAGATTGCGACCCCTCCTTGATGTCTCATCCTGTGCCTCTCTTGTCTTTGTCCTCCTGCAAATCCTCCCCCGTTTGTTAGAGGTCTTCCTTCCTCTGGGTCTTTTCACATCCACTGGGTCCCAGTGTATCCTCCCAACCATCCATCCACAATACTACCTTGTATTATCCCTTCCAATCTAACCAGAATTTGTGAAGCACCTACTATGTGCCCAGGGAAAGGTAGCATGGAGTCAGACTCACAAGGCTGGAGGAGCCAAGTTGCTTCACCTAAAAATGGAAAAAAAAGGCAAGCAACAGAGGCTGAGGATGGAGGCCCTTTCATGGGCCACAAGGTCGCATAGCTTTGTCTCCCACCAGATGCTGTGAGAAAAGGAGCCTTACCCCATGGAGGGCACCTGAAAGAGATGGTGGAGCCAGGCAAGGTCTTCACAATGCCTCCAGAGCCCATCAAAGAGCCTCCCGGGCATCACGTGATTATCTGAACAGAACCAGGCTCTCCAAGGCACCTTCATTCCACTTTAGCAGAATTCTCCCAGAAGCAAGCCCTTCAGCTTCTCTACATGGCACACACAGTCCTAGGCACCTAGGCACCGAGGCATCCTGGCCCTCATTACTCTACACTAGGATATGGGGAGATATAAATAAGTCGTTTCTGTCCTCAGGAAACTGATATTCAATGGCACCCACAGATGGGCCAATTCAATTCAACTCAACAAATCTTTATTAAGCTCCTACTGTGTGCTAGGCACTGGAGATATAATGACAAAAAGCAAAACAATCCCTGCCCTCAGAGAGCTTACATTCTACTAGGGGGATACAACATGAATATACATAACACATAATCATTTGAGGAGGCAGGAGAGAGCACTGACATATTCTTTCTTTCTTTTTTTTTTTTTGATTAGGCAGTAGGGTTAAGTGACTTGCCCAGGGTCACACGGCTAGTAAGTGTTATATGTCTAAGGCCGGATTTGAACTCAGGTCCTCCTGAATCCAGGGCTGGTGCTCTATCCACTGCACCACCTAGCTGCCCTAAACACTGACATATTCACAGAGGTATTCCTCCTCCTCCCCCCTCCCCCTCCTCTCTCTCCTCCCTTTCTTCCTCCTCCTCCCCCTCTCCCTCTTCTTCATCCTCCCCCTCCTCCTTCTTTTCTCTTTTTCTCTTTCTCTGCCTGGTGTTTGCTGGGTTGCACCAGATAACCACAGGAAGATCCAACGTGTTAAAAGCACCTAGGTTCAGCCTGCTAATGGCCCGACTATATCAGTTCAATGATGTTTTATGATAGAAAAGACAAGAAAAGCAAGCTGGGCACAAGAGATTCAGTTCCATGTGCAGCCCTCTTTTTGTCTGACCCTGTGTCTGGAAGCTCTCATTTTGTTGATGTTCATTAGGTTCAGAATGAAAAATGGGAGAAAGGGGCAGCTAGGTGGCATATTGGACAGAGCACTGGCCCTGGATTCAGGAGGACCTGAGTTCAAATCCGGCCTCAGACACATAACATTCACTAGCTGTGTGACCCTGAGCAAGTCACCTAACCCCATTGCCTAGCCAAAAAAAAAAAAAAAAAGTGGGGGAAAACCAGTAGAAAAGTAAGGATTTACTTCAGCTCTTCTTTTAGAGACCATGTCTATCCTAAACATTTTTGGATTAGATGGGCAAAGCCTAGATGGACTGCCTAGGAGTCCAGAACAGCATGGGTCCATACGTGCACACTTTTCTGAAGAAGAACGTTGTCATTTAGGGATGGAGGGAAGGGCAGGGCTCAGAGCCTTAGATCTGGAATGGGAAACCTGAATTGCTGTCCTGGCTCTGATCCTTACTTCCTGTGTGACTCGGGGCAAACTACTTCCCTGCCCTGGACCTCAGTCTCCTCAACTGTCATATGAAGGGTTATAATAGCTAGTATTTCTATGGTACTTAAAGAAATGATCTTATTTTTTCCTCACAGTCCTGGGAGGTAAGTGCTATTTTAATCCTTGTTTACATATAGGGAAACTGAGGCAAACAGAAGTTAAGTGACTTGCCCAGAGTCACGCAGCTAGTAAGTTTTGAAATCAGATCTTCCTGGCCCCGGCTATAGAAGGCACTTCAAAGGTCATCTAGTCCAACCCCCTTCTTTCACAAATGAAGAAATTGAGGCAATGATCTCTGAGAGCCCTTCCAGCTCAAATTCTATGATTCTATGTTCTCCATGTGAGGATGGGGCTTAATAATTCACACTGGTTCCTGAAGAGTTCAGGTAAGTCCTGGATGACAGCTCCCTTAACATGTCCCTAAAGGGACACTCCTTCCTTAACTCATCCAGGACGGAGCTGTCCACCCACCTCCATCAAAGCCTAGCTCAGGGAGCCCCTTCAGAGACAGGTTCCTAGACTGGGACACCAGGGGGGTTGACCTCCCTCGGGATTGCATGTCAAGATTATACAGTTCCCCACCCACTGGTTATTGGGCAATTCTGAACAAATCAACCCATTTCCTGATAGGACTTTCACAAGTTGTCACCCAGTCAGCTCTGAGACCACAGCACAGAAGCCATCTGAGTCAGCAGCAAAGGCGTTGGAAGGGGGCATTGAGGGAATTTCCCCCAAACATTCCTGGCTCCCATCAAGGATTCACAGGGAACCAGAGGTGAACATGGTGATGATCACAGAGCTGGAAGGAGGCCCAGAGGCCATCTGGGCTAGCTTTACAAGCTCCCCTAAGAGTGGCTGTCCAGATTCCTTGAAAACCCCAGGAAGAGGGAGCCCTCATCTCCTGAGGCAGCTGAGGATGCTTGGGGAGGGCTCTCCTGCTTGGGGGAGTTGTTCTCACCTCCAGCCTCAACTGGCTTCTTTCTGGCTTCACCCATGGTGCCTGGCTCTGCCCTCTGGGGCCAGGCCAAACAAATATGATCCTTTGTCTACACAACTGCCTTCCAAGTACTTGAAGACATCTCGAGTGTGCTCCCCGAGTCTTCCCAGACTGAACAACCCTAGTACCTTTCAATAACCCTCAGATGACATGGACTCTGGCTCTTCTCCCCCTTGTCAATGTCTTTCTTAAATTGTGCAGAACTGAACACTGTATTCCAGATAAGCTCTGACCAGGGCAGAGGACAGAGAGCCTGTCACCTTTACTCCTGGAAGCTGTGGAGAGGTAGGAGAGAGTGCCCCTGGCTTCAAATCTTGCCTTTGACACTTACCACCCATGTGACCCTAGGATGACTGTGTGACCTCCCTGGGCCTCAGTTTCCTTTTCTGACAAATGAAAGGGTTACTTAGACTGATGGCCTCTCAGGGTCCTTCCAGCTACAGAGCCATGCCCCACAATGATGCAGCCCAAGACTGCAGTGCCTTTTTGGTTACCACATTGCAGTGATGATGAAGGAGAAAGAATGTGGTCTGTGGAAAAGGGCAGGGCATCGGGAGTTAGGAAGCACCCAAGACACTCTATAATTGCCCTCTGCCAATGTAGCACAGGGCTCCTGCCCTCAGAGAGCTTGAAGTCCAGATGGAAACATTTACCAGAGACTCTCAAAGTCTCAACACCACCAACTAGATTGTTGGGAATGGAAACTGGGAAAAGTAGTAAGTGTCAGGGCATAGGGAGGAGAAGGAGATGGAGAAGGAGAAAGAGAAGGAGGAGAAGGAGATGGAGAAGCAGAAGCAGAAGGAGAAGGAGGGGAATCAGGAATGTTAGAGCTCATCCCACCCAACCCTAAAATTTTTCAGAATCCCAGGGAGGTTTAATGACTTGGGTTTTTCTCCCTTTCTTCCCTCCTACTTCCCCCCACCCCAGCCTGCCTCCTCCTGAACTTCCTTATTCCTGTAGACTGCATCAGCATTCTTCCAGTCACCCAAGCTCAAATAACTCAGACCCATTCTGGACTCCTTCCTCTCTCCCACGCCGCACATCCAGTCTGTTATTTCTGCTTTCATTATCTCTCTTGGATAGGTTCCCTTCTCTCTACTCACACAGCCATGCCTCCAGCCTAGTCCTTCTT